CTATAATAGAAAAATAAAAATAAAAAAATAAAAAAAATTATATATATATATATATATATATGGTTTTTTAACAAACAAAATTTGGGTCATTATGTTATGTAGTTATATTGTATCTGAATTTATAATTAGGTCTGTGAGTTGTTCATCCGAAATAATTGAGATATTAAAAATTGTAATAGTAAATTATTAAGCCATAGTTTGTAATTAATTATTGTGATTATTATTTCTTAGTGGTAGGTTTAATAAAGTAGTTCCATCTATTCATAATTCAGAAAACTTTTGGCTGGTTAATTGACATTTTTCTTTTTAATTTGTTAAATGACATATTTTGCTATTCTAGTGACGGGTTAATGTGCTTATTCTGAAATATTTTATAAATATCGTGAAAACAATAATTAAATATGCATGAATATAAAAAGCAGTAAACAAAATTTTTTATGTGAAATGAACTTTTCATTCAATCCAAATCTCTTATATATATATATATATATTGAAAATGATGAGCAGAGAAAAAAATTAAATTAATAATTGAATATTAAGATTAAGATTAATGACATTTTATGGATAATGTAGTTACAAAATAAATAACCATCATAATAGACGTATTACCTTCTTGTCAATTAGGATGAACCTCAAAATATCAAAATTTCTAGCATTGTTAGAATAAGATTTGACCAATCCATTTTGAACTTACTTTAATTAATTATTCATTTTCATACACTGATATTATTGCTTCGATTCCAAGATTGGAGAGAGCAAAATATTTGATGATTGAAATGAAATAACACCAATTTATGAAAACAATTTAAATAGTTGAGAGATTAATTGATTTACATCTAACACTAATGAGAACAATCAAATACATTCATGAACATGGCAATTAATTTGAATTAATGAATATAGAAAAATAATAATTTATAGACATGTTATCTTGAAAAAGATTTTGGACAAACTGGTGTGTACGTGAACTTGAAAAATAAATTTATATCATAAAATGAATAATCTTGAAAATCAATAAGTGTACATGAACTTATTTACTCATGGTGTAATTGAATCGCCCCAAAACATATAAAGTATAATTAATTTGCACCATTTTGATCTAAATATGTAAGTCGCTGAAAATAAATGTTAATTATTATACGTGCACGTAAATAGAAATATACATAATTAAATATTAAATACATATTGAAAAATAAAAAATAAGATATTATTGAAATCATAAAAATTATTATCATTTAATGTGATATTTAATATATTATGAATATCTCTCTTAATTTTTTTATCAATTTAATGTACTAAATTTACCGTAATTAATATCATGAACATTTTCATTTATCGTACAAGTGATAGAAAATAAAAACGAAACCACCCACTCGCTCATAACTAAAGAAGCTCCTAGATTGTGGACCAACCACATTTGTTCTTTGCATCTCACTCATTGGCAAGATGATCTGTACTATCATTTCCTTGTTTCAATGTGCACATTTTCTCAATATTTAAAAAAAAAAAAAAAAAAGGTTGAACCCCAACCTTGAGGGCCCCACAACCCCGTCCCTAGAATTTTGTGAGAGGGGTAAATCGTGGGATGTGTCTCAGCAGACTATGGAACAAGAGCTGTTTGTACACTAGGTCTATAAGGAGTCCAATTCTAGGTCTGGGGATGTGCACATTTTCTCAATAATAAACTTATGGTTGGTTGAGATTGGTATCCGATTGTTTGGAAGTATGGATTTGAATTAAAAATATGATAGGTACAAAAAATATTTGACAGAATTTTTACAGATCAACACTTGACAAATTTTCATTGATTTTGAGCCCAAAAATGAAAGCAAATGTTGGCAGTACCGTATGGGTTCTGTTACGCAGGGAATAACTCAAAAAATATTGTCCAAATTTTATAATTTTATAGGGCCCCATCCTTCACGTGATTGTCAATATCAATTATAGCCTTGTGCCCTGTAGTTGTCTCACTGAAGATATTTTTCCACTTTAAGGTAATTTAAGGCAAAATGATATTTTGACCAACTAGTGGTTGATGTATTTGGAGGAAAGTTGTCCTTAGTGTTATGAACTATCTGCTAACAAAGCTTATTTAATTATTTGAGGTTCCTTGTTCACAAAAAATCGATTTTTTTCTAAGAAATGGAATCAATCAAGCGCTATGTATCTATAATAAAAATGAAAAATGAAAATTGCAATCCTCAAGTAGGATTCTCTTTGGATTTTAAGCTATGTAGAGAAAAAAAATTGACTTCCGTGAAATTTGATTTCGAGACAGTATTCATAAATATTCTGTCTTAAAAGAGATCAATCCTCGAAAGTTCGTCCAATATTTTTCATTTCTTGTCCAATATTCCTTGAGTCAATAATTTAAAAGAACATGCTAAAATGGGATGAATTTGTTTGAATGAATCCTAAGAAAAGCCTATTTGACCATACTTATGGCCAGGCCAAAATATAGGGGGCCAAAGTGGCGGCCCCCTATTGGCGGTGTGTCTGTCGAGGGACAGGCACCTCGCCAACTGGGGGACACCATGTTGAGCCCCTATTTTTGGCCTGACTTTGAGCAGAGCTCTAAATCCTATTAATGATAACACGATGATGTACTAATCCAATCACATGAAGTCTACGTACAAAGCTAACCAATTGTACTTCAAGCAGTTGACAAGATTGATTTCGAAATAATTGTTCTAATATTTTTTTACAGTTAATTCGTCCACAATGACCTTATTCTGATTCCAATTCCAACAACTCAACTCATATGATGACTTGTGTTTGTATCTAGAAATTTGAGGTAATTATCTTTTCTCGAGTGACACGGCCTGCTTAAAAATTTAAAGAAATTGTACACGCTATCTTATGTGAAGATCAACTTTGCAATTATAATTTGATATTAAACTTAATTTTTTTAAAACATTAGCTCGTTTGACAAGCACTTATAAACATATTTTCTATAAACAAATAAAAATGAGTGGTGAATAAATAGATAAGTACTTGTTGTTTCCATGACATCATGATAAAAAGTTACTTGATTTTTAATAAATGTTTATAAATATTTGCCAGACATACTTTTAGAAAATCAGATTATTCTGCCAACAATAAGCATTGTGCTGAAAAAAAATCATATAGTTATTTCACTGTGGACCCGAGGAAAAAAAATATGAAAAATTTCATTTGTACTCGAGTGTTCACACGTCCCTCGCATGGGGATTGTGAGCGGACCCATCCTCCATGTGAGGGACGTGTAACTGAGCGCGTGAACGCCCAGGTGCAAATAATTATGTCCAAAAAATATTGTAATTGTGAAGAATATTATCAACAAACATGTGGTTGTCATCACCCCTCCGAACCTAGCTGGTTCTGCGTCATATTCCGAACCAACAAACGACAATAAAAACAAGTCCACGCAGTTTCCACCTTCAGTCAGCCTCTTCTGTACGACACTCCCCAAATCACCTCAGGAAAATCCGTTTGCTAGAAAGAAGAAAATGGGTTTAGTTGAAGAAGCACACAACGTGAAAATTGTAGGCTCGGGTAACCAAACTATAGTACTAGCCCACGGGTTTGGAACTGATCAGTCGGTTTGGAAGCACCTTGTACCACATCTGCTTGACGATTATCGGGTCATACTGTTTGATAATATAGGCGCCGGAACCACCAACCCCGATTACTTTGATTTTGAAAGGTATTCGACACTGGAAGGGTATGCCTATGACGTGATTGCAATACTGGAGGAGCTTCGGGTTCAGTCGTGTATATTCGTGGGGCATTCTGTATCCGCTATGATTGGGGCTATTGCTTCGATAACCCGACCCGATCTTTTTACCAAACTTGTCGCCATCTCTGCTTCGCCGAGGTTAGATCATTGACTGAAAATAGTTTAACTTTGTTGAACAGTAAACATTGAGTTGAAGTATCATCGTACTAGTAAATATCAATCAATATCGGTCAATTATTTACACAGTAGCAAGCACATGTCTTCACAATTATGGTCCATTTGAGACTTACTGGTCACTGAAGTAGATAACCGGCAATGAGGATTTATTGTGACTTTAACCGTCTTCTATTTGGTGGATATAAATATTTTTTCTTGAAGGATATGAGAGGACTAGTGGTTATCACCACTGTTTGATAAATCGCATTATTAATGCTTGTTTGGTATGTCTTTTGAAAAGTTAAAATGAAATTTTGAGACTCAAAAGTTGATTTTGAACCCATTTGGTTAATTTTATGAAGTATTTCTTTTAATTAGAAAGTTTTTAGAGGAAGTTGGTCTAATGTAAATACTTCCAGAATAGGAAGCTCTTTTAAAAATGAATTTTCAAACAAAAATTAAGATAGATTCCTCCAAAAACTGTTTTACAGGAAATAAAAACAAAAGCAAATGTCATGTCATACTGACCATAACTCTATGAAGCATAAGTGGTGAAGTAAGAGGAATTTCTACACTGCCACATAGGTAGGTATAATTAGAACCCGTTCGGCATAGCTTTTGAACCCAGTTTGGCTAATTTTATAAAATGCTTCTTCTAGGTAGAAAAGTTTTTCGATTAAGTTAATCCAATGCAACTATTTTCAAAAGAATTTCTAAAATAGAAAATTCTTTTAAAACTTAATTTTCAAACAAATATTAAGGTAGCTTATATGAAGTAAAAGTAAGAACAAAAAAATCATATCAAACGAGCCCTTAGATGGGTCTACTAGCCTTAGTTTGGTTTAGTTTATTTCTTTTTGTATATTTTTACTATAGTGGGATGGTAGGAGGAAGCAATGGTCTATGGCGGTGAGATGGAATTTGGGATGGGTGACGATGGTGAAGATGGTGATGGCAGTGGTTGCCAACGATTAAAAGGATTGAAGGTAGCAGTGGTAGCGTTGTGTTGCCAAATGTGGTTGCGAACGGTAATATGTGTTGATGGTGTAGTGGTGGTGTAACGATGTTTGTTAAAAGTGGTGGAGACAGCTATAGTGGTGTAAAACGATTGTTACAAATAGTAGGGCTAGTGTCAGTGCTGGAAGATTGAGTGTTACAAATGTAACACAATTTTTTACAATTAGTAGAATCGATGATTGTAGAGTATTGTGTAACAATGTACACACTTTTTAATTTTGTTTAAAAAAAATGTTTTGAAAGTAAATATGGAATTAGTAAACTTTTTCAATGTCTTTGCAAATTGTCCCCTTTTTTTAAAGGGATTTGCTTGTGCACCTTGAGGTGTATGCATAGCATTATCCTTTCTTAAATATCATTTGCGTGGGCTGCATGTCATGTTATGTCTAATATGGGCTTCTCAGGTACAATTGAACTTGGGTAATTTGGTACTTTTTACACTATTTAAAAGGTTAAATGTGGTTTGATTCCACGCACCACGCCCATGCTGTGTTGAATTGTTGCGCTGCTATCTAATAACATATGTTATTGTTATTCATTTAGCACATTTTTGTGTAGTGCTTTTAATTCGTTATAACATCTAAACGTTCTCAATTTCACGATATTCATTTAACTTTGTATTCAGATACTTGAATGATACAGACTATTACGGAGGATTTGAACAAGAAGAGATTCAAAAGTTATTTGAAGCCATGCAATCAAATTACAAGGCATGGTGTGATGGATTTGCTCCTCTAGTCGTAGGAGGTGATATGGAAACAATGGCAGTCCAAGAATTCAGCAGGACATTATTCAACATGAGACCCGACATATCATTAAGCGTAGCACAAACCATATTTCAAAGTGATATGAGACATTTGTTGCACCATGTCACTATACCTTGTCACATAATTCAGAGTATGAAAGACTTAGCTGTTCCGGTGGTGGTTTCTGAGTACCTCCACCAGAACCTTGGTGGTCAATCCATAGTAGAGGTGATGCAAACTGATGGTCACCTACCTCAATTGAGCTCGCCGGACATTGTAATTCCTGTGCTTCTTAGGCACATTCGTTTTAGCATTGCTACTTGATTACTTTATTTACTTGTCTTTCTTGGTCTCTTCTTGGAAAAGTATTTTCGAAGACAAGATGTGCAACACTAGGCGTTGTTGTCAAGTGCTCTTATGACATCATTTGTGTAAATCTGTAAGTGTTTCTCTTATTTAAAAAGTTTTTAATTAAGTATTACAAATTTCACTTGATATGGAGTATCAAATAATGCTGCACTAACTAAACATAACTTCAAAAAATTGAAGGAAACTTGAGGATAGAAAATAATTGGTCGATTTTGTACAGTTCACCCCTTCAACTTTGTATCCCGATGGTTTGGTTTGTTCTTTGACTGTTACAAAGAAGAGTGATTTGTTGTAATGTCAAAAATCTATCGAAAAGACACTCAAATTTGAGCATATATAACTACTTTGGTGTAGAATGTTGACCTTATAAAAAACTTGTTTGAGAAGTGTTGGAAGTGTTTATAAATTATTTAAAATATAAATGAGGAAGCTTACTCCTAATTCTTCTTCGATCTCTAGAGAAGTTCTTGTAGCCGAGGTAGCATCTATAGCTACATTGATTCGAGAGAGAAATGGCCTTATACAGGAAGAAGTTTTTCAACCCC